CTTCCTGGCACTAAAAAACCTCTCCCTCTTGAGTGGCTGTGGCTACCCAGGTTTTCCCATGGCCTGGATGTTTTGTATCTTTTTGTCCCCTTAGATGGTATGCCTGGCAATTTAAGTTATAGCACAGTCTTTCCTGTACTGAAGAGGTACACAGTTCAGGGTGAAAAAGCTTTACAGGAAGGGAGTTTGCATTTTCCTGTTGTCATATGGGCATGGCATTTTCTAGGGTGGTCATAGTTGCACGTCCCATCTGTTTTTCCAGATTTCCCATGCCAGCAGATACCGAGTGCATAGTATGTGCACAGGCTTGGTTTCCGTTTGCCTTGGGTTTTCTGTGACTGTATTCCCTGTTGGTGCATGTTTCCCTGTCTTACTTCTATCTTCCCTAGCACCAACATGGAGCTCCCACCAGTTGTTTTTGGTATATATATCCTCACTATTGCTAGTGGAGTCCTCTGTTTGCTATTTCCTGCGGTATTTCAGTTTGCAATATTGGTTTTATCTTATCTTTGACTACACTTGTTTCCCTACTATGGCTCCTGTCCCTATGAGGTCATTTATATGTATTCCTTCCTGCGTATAATTCCCGACTACCTGGACAAAATCTCCAGCTTCACCATTACTGTCTCCCAGGACAGCATCTCCAGCTTCCCCATTACTGTCTCCCAGGAACGCATCTCCAGCTTCACCATTACTGTCTCCCAGGACAGCACCTCCAGCTTCACCATTACTGTCTCCCAGGACAGCACCTCCAGCTTCACCATTACTGTCTCCCAGGACAGCACTATCAGTCCCCCATTTACTGACTACCAGGACATCATCTCCAGCCTTACAGTTTCTGACTACATGGCCAGTATCAAGGGCAGTACCATTCAGCCCAGACTTTTTATGTTCCCATCTGTTTGTAGAAAGCTTCCAGGTTTTCTATGAAAGCAGCTTTGATGTTGACCTCTTTTAATACCCTTGTGATTTTAGTCCACAGATTTATCTCATTTGGGCATACCCAAAAACACTTCCCTGTTTTAATACTGCTTGTAGCTAGTTCTTGGATATCTGCACAAGGGGCGTGACACCAATTTCCACAAAAATGACAATTTATGCATGTGGAAGCCCGTTTGTTTGACTGACCACAGACTACACACAGCTTCATAATGATTTGAATGGTTGATTTACTGCAATTCTACTAGCAACCTCTTGAATAATCTATTAATAACCTGCTAGGTAGTGCACAACGAAACCGTTTGAAACCAGTCCAGGGTTCGGACCAGTCAAGGGTTCGGACCAGTCAAGGGTTCGGACCAGTCAAGGGTTCGGACCAGTCTATCTGATCTGATCAGTGGGTCATTTATTTAAACCATACTGGTCGGTGATTTGAGCTAACACATGAAGGATCTACTGGAAATTATCTACCCGAGTAATATGTGATTTGATTGATAGAAAAGTATAACTTGCGTGTTGAAGAGCCGGTGACTGCTGGCACTCCTAAATTCTAGCGCCCTCAAATCTAGTGGGAGAAAGCTGGTAGGCATACATATGAAAGAATGGGTCTATGTGGTCAGTGTGCGCAGTATAAAAAAAATCCTGCAGCACACAGTGCGTAATGAGAAAAAAAAAAACTTTGACCATGTTTTTGGAATAAAACAGCGACTTTGCACTGTATTTTCGTATGGTATTTATTGTTGTATTCTAGTTTTCGTGGTCTCATTTTATAGAATGGAAGACATATTACAGAAATTATGATGATTTTGACTGGTTTTAAAATGAAAAGTACCTTGAAATTGAGCTCAAAGTAGCAGAAATGTTCGATTTTTACCAAAGTTCAAAAGTAAACAAATCATGCCAAGCGTCCAATACACATCAACTGGTGAGTCTGATATTCTTTCACAAGTGCGCTGATGTTATTTATACCATTTCTACACTAATGCAGCAGTCTGCATAACAGTAAATCTTCTATTTTTTGTAAGAATAAAAATTGAAAGTGTAAAGCCAAAGAAATATAAGAGGGGCCTGGGGATGTGACTAACGAACAGAGGAAATGTTATTTTAGTGCCAGGAATGTCTTTCTTGTTTATTCTGGACTCTATTTGGAAATTGGCATCTTTTGAAATTTGTGTGAAATTGGCAAAATTGCTAAATTCTGACCACTGTATTGGATAGTTGAAATCAGTAAATGGGTGGTTTCTTGTACTCATTCAATAGAAAAAATTGAGTTCTAGAGAAATAGTTATGATTTTTGTCGACTAGTACACTGGAATTGGCTGAAAATAGGGCTCAAAGTGGGCAAAATCGCCGGTGCATAAACATCGTCGAGACCGCTAACTTTGCGAGAGCATAATTCCGTAAGTTTTCCATCAAATTTCATACTTTTGGTGTCATTATGATCGGGAAAAGATTCTATATCTTTTCATAAGAAAAAATTATTTTTTTTTTTTTTAAATTTGGCCGACCCTGAGAATAAGTCTCGGAGAGGGCCTGTCGACCCTCAAAGGGTTAACCAATACGTGTTTTCTTTCTTTCTTTTTGTAATGATAAGTCTTACTTCTGTGATATTTCTTTCCAGTTTAAAAGATAGCGGCCTGGTCAAAGACCTGGCTGTGGGGGTGACGATTAGGGTATGTCAAAGTAACAGTTTTCTTATCAGTCAAAAATGAACATTAGTATCGATTGGTATCAGCTAATTTTGATGTTATCAGTAACGGCTTATATTGATTGCATCAGTATCACCCTAAAGTTGAACATTGGTATCAGCAAAGGCAAAAATTTTGTTATGAACCCTTCATTAATAATAACCCCTGTAACAGCAAACAAAAGTGCATATTGTTCTTTTAGGTGAATGAATAGGTACAGTAGTGTTGAAATTTGTAGGTAACTTTCACCAAAGTTTACTGCTTTCAATTGGGAAGGTAAATATTTGTGCACAGTACAGAATGTACACTTCTTCTTTGTTTCAACACACCGGCCGTATCCCACCAAGGCAGGGTGGCCCAAAAAGAAAAACAAAAGTTTCTCTTTTAAATTTAGTAATTTATACGGGAGAAGGGGTTACTAGCCCCTTGCTCCCAGCATTTTAGTCGCCTCTTACAACATGCATGGCTTACGGAGGAAGAATTCTGTTCCACTTCCCCATGGAGATAAGAGGAAATAAACAAGAACAAGAACTAGAAAGAAAATAGAAGAATACCCAGAGGGGTGTGTATATATATGCTTGTACATGTATGTGTAGTGTGATCTAAGTGCAAGTAGAAGTAGCAAGACATGAAATCTTGCATGTTTATGAGACAGACAAAAGACACCAGCAATCCTACCATCATGTAAAACAATTACAGGTTTTCGTTGTACATTCACTTGGCAGGATGGTAGTACCTCCCTGGGCAGTTGCTGTTTACCAACCTACTACCTAGGAGAATGTACACAATGAAATAAATTCTAGTCATAATTTATTAGACCAAAAAGAAATAATAGACTTCCCCCCCAACACTAAGTATAGAATATTATTATGTGGGTCAAGGAATTTAAATGCTCTTAGAAAGGATCTATAGCTAGAATACAAACATTGGATTCAGGAAGTATTTTAATTTTTAATGTGTTTCTTGAAATGGGGAATGGCAAGCTACCAGACAAAAACATTAAATTATGAATTTTGTAGGCATCTGGTGGCCAAGAAGACTTCTCTCTGGATGACACTGCTACATTCTACACCTCTTAAGTGAAAATCTGGTGATATTGAACAGATGGATTTAGCTATATGTAGGTATTGCAGAATAAGACTCCAGGAAGTGGAAAAAGTTCAAAGTCCTTATAAAGATTTGTTTAAACACACTCAGTAAGCACAGTACTATACAGCCTCTCCTCGCCTAATGACGGAGTTTCGTTCCTAAGACCACGTTGTTAAATGAATTCATCGCTAATGAGGCGCATATTAGAATGGTAGTGAGTTTGTGTCATCCATCTTTGATATTGTTTTAATGTCGCCTATGCACCATTTATAACATTTCTGGTATATTTTTAAATGTTTATACAGTAATGTACTGTATATTGAAATAAACAGAATACTGTAGAGGAAATCAGCTCTAATATACATTATTTAGGTATGAATACTGGTCAGAGAGCCCGTCATACGTTTGAGACATCATTAAACGAGTACATTGCTAAGTGAGGAGAGGCTGTTTTGGTAAACTGCCAGTCACTAGCATGGTGCTTTCCTTGGCTGGATCACTAAAATTAAGTGATGGAGTTTGTGACCAGGGGAAGGAGCATCTCTTATTTAGATGTGGCACTCTTTCACAGAATGCTTGCTTGCTTTAAGAATCTAACATCTCTGTAAACTATCATCCTGCCATCTCCCACTGAGGTATGGTTACCTGAAAAAGAAACATTTTCATCATTTACATTATCAGTCTTGCCAGAGGTGCACAGATACAACAGTTCAGGTCCCAAAAACCATTTGTCTTCACTTCTATCAAACATACTCACATATGCCTTCTGGATGTCCAAGCCCCATGCACACAAAACCTCCTTTACCTTCCCTCCTCCATCCTTTCCTTGGATGACCTCTACCCCGCCTTTCCTTCACTACAGATTTATATACCCTCCAAGTCATTCAATTTTCCTCCATCATCTCTATATGACCAAACCACCACAACAACCCCTCCTCAACCCTCTGGATAATACTTTTAGTAACTCTGCACCACCACCTAATCACCAAACTACAAATTCTTTGCATAATATTTACACCACATATTGCCCTCAGACACATCACCTCCACTGCCTCCAACCTCCTCCTCACTGTAACATTCACAACCCAAGCTCACACCCATATAAGTGTGTTGGTGCCACTCTTCTCTCATACATTTTCCTCTTTGCTTACATGGATTTGTGAATATGACTAACATTCTCATACCATATTGTGCAGTTCTATTATGTATTGAGTTTATTATGCAGTTCTGTATATTATTCACTTTACTATAAGGAACTGGTAATATAACTCTTAAATTCTGCAGATCAGAACAAGTATTTGAACAGATGACTAGCATGTATGGAAGCAGCAATTGTCACATGTTACAAATCAACTCTCGTCACATTGGCCAAACTGATGTTCACCTACCAGACCCCTGGAGTCAGTTCCTCATTCAGAGAGCGTCCTGTGATCCGTAAGTATTGTCCTTATTTTCTGTGTATTCACTTTTAATAACAGGGCTACTGTTTGTAATTTTTTTAATGCACTGGCCCCCTCCCACCAAGGCAAGGTGATCTAAAAAGAAAAACAAAAGTTTTTCTTTTTACATTTACTAAAAATATTTGTAATATGAAAGTTAGTCTTCTTAAACACCGATGAATCTGATGGAATAGTATTCTTCATTCATATTTTACTTAAAACTTTTTCTGGTGTTGTATTAAATGCTGCTTTCACTTATACTGATAGGATTTTTCTCAGTTTTCAGGCTAATCAGTCAGCCCTACTTAGAGTAGGTTTTACACTTTATTTCCAATATGCTTTTACTAACCATCACAGTAGCTCATATCTGGTGTCCTTGATGGTGAAGGAAACTTATGGCTTGTTACACAGTCTCATTTTTGTCTGATGTTAATAGTATGTAACATCGATTAAATATTGCATATAGCACACCAACTGTCTCCCACCAAGGTAGGGTGACCCCAAAAAAAATAGGAAAAACACTTCATAAAGTTTTTCTTTTTACATTTAGTAATTTATACAGAAGCCATGCTGTTGGTGCCACTCACACACAGACCAACATATGCACCACAGCCATGCTGATCATGAAGTGACTTAAGGAACTTGCCTAGTTCCCTCTTGAAAACAGATAGGGTTTTATTGGTAATTTTCCCTTCAACATGAAGAATGGGAGTTGAAGTGTCTGTCTCCTTGCACTTAATACGTTTTGTGTTGAATATTAAAATGGTATAAAATACCGACAGGTTGTTAGGTAAGACACACATGCAGCAGTTAGGTATCTTTATTTTGAAATGTTTCGCTTACACAGTAGGCTTCTTCAGCCGAGTACAGAAAAGTTGGTAGAAGCAGAAGGGATGTGAAGACGATGTAATCAGTACAATCACCCTTGATGACATAGTTTTGAGGTGTTCAGCCCCTCAGCCTGGAGAAGAGTATATGTTTCATAGTCTAAAACAATGTGAAGTTGAAGTGACAGTATGGAGCCTTATATACTTTCAGGAGGTGAGATGTACACCACTAGTAGAAGAAAGCATGTAATCATTGAGAGGTCACGTTCCTCTCAAATCCAACCTTTCTCATTCATAGAAGTTGTCTAAAGTGTTTTCTGTTCTGTACCAAGATACCATTGTGGTGCAGTGTCTGACAGAGTGAATATTAAAATGGTTTTGTGTTAGTGTACTGATCAGAGCTTTCCCCTCTTTCACATGAAGTAACTTCAGTCTGTAGGTTTGGGACCAATTCCCAAAGAATTTTCCAGGTGTGGATTATAATGCATCTTCCTCACCTATGTTTGAGTGACTTGAAGCATTTTCAGTAGTTCAGGTACTTGACTGAATTTATACAAGCAATAAAGGTTCTTTGTATGCACTCCAGCACTGCAGTTTTACCTGTCATTAAGAGGGCCATTAGTATAAAGCACTAATCCAGTCTGGAGAGAGCAAGAGATTTAAGGAGTATCACCATTGTATGAATCTTAGTTCTGGCTTCGTCTCTATAGATGCCTTCCTCTCCCACTACACTGCAAAATGCTCCAAACTTCAGAACACCCATGACTTAACCTGATTCCTCCTTTTTTCTGCTTCTCCCTCTTCCCCTTTTCTCTTTCCTTTTTTCTCTTCTGGGTTGTCTTTCTTTCTTCTGTCTTGTGTTTCTGTTCCTTCATTATTTTATTATTATTTTATTTCCCCTCCCCCCCAACCTCTGTGTTCTTGCTCTCCCTCTGGGCACCTAGCTTCCTTGCAATGCTCCCTTTTCTTTGTATTTGACTGGCTCCTCCTCCTTACTTCCCCATTACTACTTCCTTCCATCTCCACTACTACTACTACTGCTGCCTCCACCACCACCGCCACCACCACCGCCACCACCGCCACCACCGCCTCCTCCGCCTCCTTCGCCTCCTCCGCCTCCTCCGCCTCCTCCGCCTCCTCCTCCTCCTCCTCCTCCTCCTCTCCCATATATACCCATCCTGTTCTATTTCTCCTTAGTGTGACTTTGTAAATGGTCCAAGTCGGACTGAAAAGTCGTCGTAAGCTCCTCTCTTCTATGTGCAGGTTATTTGTGTACTCTTTCCTATGTTCACTTTTAATACCAACCTCTGCAACTTCTCTTCAGAATCTCCCAAAAGCACAGTGTCATCAGCAAAAAGCAGCTGGGACAACTCTCATTTTGTGTTACATTCTTTATCTTTTAATCCCACACCTCTTACCAACACTCAAGCTTTCACTTCTCTTACAACCCCATATATAAATATATTGAACAACTATGGTGACATCATGCATCCTTGTCTAAGGCCTATTTTTACTGGGAAATAATCTCCCTCTCTCCTACATGCTCTAACTTGAGCCTCACTATCCTCATAAAAACTCTTCACTGCTTTCCGTAACCTACCATCTATTCCAGACATTTGTAACATCTGCCACATTGCCTCCCTATCCACCCTATCATATGCCTTTTCAAAATCTATAAATGCAACAAAGACCTCTTGACCCTTATCTAAATACTAGTAGTACATGTACGTAGTAAGTTTGACAGTGTTGTCCCGGCCTGGATCTTTTGCAGATAGTGACCTGGAAATCTAAATACTGTTCACCTATATGTTTCACTGTAAACACTTTTTCTACACACCCTATACCCTTCTTAAAGCCTCCTTGTTTATCTGTGATCCTGCTCTCCATCCTACTCTTAATTCTTTCAATAATAACTCTACCATACACACTTGTCCCCTTTACCTTTATACAAAGGAACTATGCATGCTCTCTACCAAGCCCTAGGTACCTTCCCCTCTTCTATACGTTTATTAAATAAAAGAACCAGCCATTCCAAAACTATATCCCACCTACTTTTAACATTTCTGTTCTTTTTTTTTTTTTTTTATTATCACACTGGCCGATTCCCACCAAGGCAGGGTGGCCCGAAAAAGAAAAACTTTCACCATCGTTCGCTCCATCACTGTCTTGCCAGAAGGGTGCTTTACACTACAGTTTTTAAACTGCAACATTAACACCCCTCCTTCAGAGTGCAGGCACTGTACTTCCCATCTCCAGGACTCAAGTCCGGCCTGCCGGTTTCCCTGAATCCCTTCATAAATGTTACTTTGCTCACACTCCAACAGCACGTCAAGTATTAAAAACCATTTGTCTCCATTCACTCCTATCAAACACGCTCACGCATGCCTGCTGGAAGTCCAAGCCCTCGCACACAAAACCTCCTTTACCCCCTCCCTCCAACCCTTCCTAGGCCGACCCCTACCCCGCCTTCCTTCCACTACAGACTGATACACTCTTGAAGTCATTCTGTTTCGCTCCATTCTCTCTACATGTCCGAACCACCTCAACAACCCTTCCTCAGCCCTCTGGACAACAGTTTTTGGTAATCCCGCACCTCCTCCTAACTTCCAAACTACGAATTCTCTGCATTATATTCACACCACACATTGCCCTCAGACATGACATCTCCACTGCCTCCAGCCTTCTCCTCGCTGCAACATTCATCACCCACGCTTCACACCATATAAGAGCGTTGGTAAAACTATACTCTCATACATTCCCCTCTTTGCCTCCAAGGACAAAGTTCTTTGTCTCCACAGACTCCTAAGTGCACCACTCACTCTTTTTCCCTCATCAATTCTATGATTCACCTCATCTTTCATAGACCCATCCGCTGACACTCCCCCTCCCAAATATCTGAATACGTTCACCTCCTCCATACTCTCTCCCTCCAATCTGATATTCAATCTTTCATCACCTAATCTTTTTGTTATCCTCATAACCTTACTCTTTCCTGTATTCACCTTTAATTTTCTTCTTTTGCACACCCTACCAAATTCATCCACCAATCTCTGCAGCTTCTCTTCAGAATCTCCCAAGAGCACAGTGTCATCAGCAAAGAGCAGCTGTGACAACTCCACTTTGTGTGTGATTCTTTATTTTAACTCCACGCCTCTTGCCAAGACCCTCGCATTTACTTCTCTTACAACCCCCTCTATAAATATATTAAACAACCACGGTGACATCACACATCCCTTGTCTAAGGCCTACTTTTACTGGGAAAAAATTTCCCTCTTTCCTACATACTCTAACTTGAGCCTCACTATCCTCTAAAAACTCTTCACTGCTTTCAGTAACCTACCTCCTACACCATACACTTGCAACATCTGCCACATTGCCCCCTATCCACCCTGTCAACGCCTTTTCCAAATCCATAAATGCCACAAAGACCTCTTAGCCTTATCTAAATACTGTTCACATTATATGTTTTCACTGTAAACACCTGGTCCACAACACCCCCTACCTTTCCTAAAGCCTCCTTGTTCATCTGCTATCCTATTCTCCGTCTTACTCTTAATTCTTTCAATTATAACTCTACCATACACTTTACCAGGTACACTCAACAGACTTATCCCCCTATAATTTTTGCACTCTCTTTTATCCCCTTTGCCTTTATACAAAGGAACTATGCATGCTCTCTGCCAATCCCTAGGTACCTTACCTGTTCTTATCCTATCAATTCCAGCTGCTTCACCCCATTTCATTCTACCCACTGCCTCGATCACTTCCCCCACACTCACACCAGCCCCTTCCTCACTCCTACAAGATGTTATACCTCCCTGCCCAGTGCATGTAATCACAGTTGCCCTATCTTCATCAACATTTAATGGCTCCTCAAAATATTCCCTCCATCTTCCCAATACCTCTAACTCTCCATCTAATAGCTCTCCTCGCTTATTTTTAACTGTCAGATCCATTCTTTCCCTAGGCTTTCTCAACTTATTAATCTCACTCCAAAACTTTTTCTTATTCTGAACAAAATTTGTTGATAGCAACTCACCCACTCTTTCATTTGCTCTCCTTTTTATATTTGTTCACCACTCTCTTAATTAAACTCTCTCTCTCTCCATATACTCCTCCCTCCTTGTATCACTTCTGCTTTGCAAAACCTCTCACATGCTAACTTTTTCTCTTGCATTTCTTTCATATCCTTTTATAATGGCATGGATATTAAATCTATGGAGGTTTACAAACAAATTTGCCAATCTCTTAAAAAATTTTACAGGTAGTTACTGAGATATACGTACAGAATATGAATATGTTACGGACTTGTATTACAGTTTTATTAACCACTTGTGTTTGATACCAGATTAAATTGGTGATCTATTAACACTAACAGCCTTTATTATAGGTTATTTTTGCATAGTTTTTACTCTGCTGAATCAGTTGCTTAATTATATAAAATGCATTTGCAGCAGTGGCGGTAGCAGTTCCGAGGCCAGCAGTGGAACAGGGACTCCTCGTGAGGATGTGAGTGGTCTTCCATCACGAGTTACTGAAGGTGATACTACAGATTGTTGTGAATCAATACATCCTCTTTCTCCTACAGTACCTCCAGTGGATGAAAAAAATGGGACTTTTGACATCATGCCTGGAGTAGAAATATCAGCTGATGTACCTGTGATGGTGAATAGACCTAGTTTACCTGCTGGTACAGTTCAACATCATGGTGGCTGTTTAACTTCTTCTGATGTTGACCGTATACGTATTTTTGTTCATGAATTTTGTGTAAGATCATTAATTCCTCACGTGGAGAGACAGATAAGGTACTTGAATGAGGTAGTGACAAATAGATCGCGATCAAAATCTCTGTTGAGTGCCACACGACGTTGGCTTGTTGGGAACAAGAGTCCTGGCAGTGCCACTAATTCTGTCATATACAGTCCTGAAGCCACTGAACTTCAGACAAGAAGGCTTGCAGATTTATGTTTCATGTTTGGACTTTATGAACTAGCATATAGTTTCTATCACACAGCAAAAAATGACTTCAAGAGTGATCAGGCTTGGCTATATTTTGCTGGTGCACAGGAAATGGCTGCACTTGCTGCTTTTATGCAGAACAGCTCAGATTATCCCAAGCGCTACTTGGAAAACAGTTTGCAGACCTACCTCAATGTTTGTAAGGTAAGCTCAGTTCTTTTTACTTTTATGTAATGTTAAGTCTGTCATACACACATGCACCCTTTTTACCTCTTCATTCCACAAGGCATTCCTGTTTGCTCCTACACACACCCTCGTATAACATCTGTTGCAAACACTAGCACTGTATTCTTAAATCCTCTCTCTGCCTTCTTGACTATGCCATATCCCTCAAGGAAGGTGCCTTGATGCTTGTGAAGGGCTATGGATCCAAAGAATTGTGGCTTGGACTGAGCTTGATTAGCTTACATTCTGCAGTTTTGCTGTATGTATGACCTTGCATGTCTAGCACTTCCCCACAGATATAGTAATAATAATAATTGGTAGTGGACTTGTCATTAGATGGTCGTATGAGAGATGAAGTGAACCATAGAGTTTACAAAGGTAAAAATGCTGGGTTGGTGCATTGAGGCATCTGTGGAGAAAAAAGAACTTTATCTATAGAGGCAAAAAGGAAAATGTACCAAAGTATAATGGTACCAACATTGTTGTATGGGTGTGAAGCCTAGGTTTTAAACATTTCAGTGAGAAGGAGGCTGGAGGTAGTGGAGATGTCATGTTTGAGGACAATGTGTGGTGTGAATATTAAGCATAGAATTTGGAATTTGAAGATTAAGTGGAGGGATGGGGGTTACCAAAAAGTATTATTACGAAGGCTGAGGAGTGGTTGTTGAGAGGACTGAGAAAGACAGGATGACTAGGAGGGCATATAAATCTGGGATGGTGGGAAGGAGAGGTAAAAGTCATCCTAGGAAAGGTTGGGGGATTACCAGTAGACTCCTGATTGTCTTCAAGAAGGAACTGGACAAGTTTTTTGAGTCAATGTGTGTTCAGCTGGACTGGGTGCTTATGTTGAACTTTTTGTGGTTAGCACCAACAGACTGGTTGAACATGCCATCCACTGGAAGGCCTGGTAAGGGACTTCGGGTAAGGCTTCCAGGGACTGACACACTGGAATCAAGAAAAATTTGCTTGTCATAAAGATGACACTAGCAACAAGTGTGCAGTACTCTGCAATACTTATAACCACCTGATGAACTTCTTTGGTGCAGACTGATATAAGCAACTGTGTTTGGAATCAGCTTTAATCATCAATACCATCACCATTTCACAAAATTTGGGGTCTTTCACCATCTCCAGGTTTTAGCAAAACCATTTCTTCCTAACAACCAACACACCTATCACCTGGGACTTTGTTCACACATACGTAACTTCACCCCTCCTCGCTGCAGACTATGGTGAACTTTCTTTACACCTCATTGGCCTTTGTTCATCTATATATTACCTCAGATTGTAATTGTCTCTGTATGAATTGCTAAAGTCTTTGGTGGATAAAATGTCTTCAGCTAAAATACAGTACCATAACCTTCACATTGTTTCAATATCATACCCTACCTTCTCAACCATGCCGCACTTTGACCTTGCCTCGCCTTGACTATGCCTCACCTTGATGATGCCCCACCGCCTTGACCATGCCCTATCTCTTCAGCCATTCGCTACCTCCCTGACCACGTACTGAGTATGCAATCACACCATTGTTCCTTAATTATACTATACCTCTGTGACCACTTCCAGTCTCAGCAACCATAACTTGCAACCACCCTGCCTATGTGACCACATTGCCTCAATACTGTATAGTATATTATATTACTGTATAAAGTATATTAACATTTTCCTCCACAAATCTAAATCACTTATTATTTTAATAGAAAAAATTAATAAAATAATACATGTATTCTTCCATCAGGTGTATAACTTTGCAATACGATCAACATTACTCAGTTCTGAAGTCTTGAAGCATTGTGGAGAATATGGAGAAGCTGCAATGATGTTTATCAAGCTCACTTCAGAGGAGAGTGACCTGTTGTCTGCTCTTATGTTAGAGCAAGCAGCTCACTGTTTCATTAACTCCCAGAGACCACTGCCAAGAAAGTACGCTTTCCATATGACTCTTGCAGGACACAGATTTAGCAAGGCTGGACAGCGATCCCATTCATTAAGAGCATATAAACAATCCTTCCAGGTATACTTCAAAAATTTTTATGATCAAAATTGGTAATGTGCTACTGTTGGAATTTACTACATTTTATGATTTTTAGTGGTCAGTATGCTGCAGTTATGCAGTAACAGAATTGTGCCATATTTATTAATTTTAAAAAGTCTGCATTAACTATTCATTGAGGTTTGTTCAATTTAGCTGTTAGTCAAGAATAATGTCATTTTTGTGCTAATATGTATGTGAGCAACATAAGAAAGTTGAGGAAGAGTATCAAAGGACAGTTAAGGACATGTACTGACCTAAGTTTTCAGGGAACAAGTTGCAGTTTTGGATCCTATTTAAGTATCACTAATCTGTATGCATGTGTGCTTACACGAGTCTAGGGATGAGGAAACTCATTAACTTCTCTTGTATTAGAGAAATATGAACATTTTTATTAATTACTTTGTTGACATAGATTCAAATAACACATATTTGAATTATTTTAATTTAAAGTAAAGTAATGTAGAACTCATTGATAAGATACCACCTTTTTCTGCCCTGTTTGTAGTGCAGGTGGGCACCTACCAGAAAAAGACAGAAAATGTATATAGATATACAGAGTTAGTTAAACTTTCATGTCACCTTCCATACTAATATTGCTGCATGTTAGTAAAATATCCACTTTCAGCCTTTTCATTATGTATAGTACATCTGCACCTCTGCAAAAACAGTGATTATGTGTGAGTGAGGTGAAAGTGTTGAATGATGATGAAAGTATTTTCTTTTTGGGGATCTTCTTTCTCTTTGGGTCACCCTGCCTCGGTGGGAGACGACCGACTTGTTGAAAAAAAAAAAATCTGTTAATATCTGTTATAGGTATAATTCTCTCAGTATAAATTGTCAGAGTATTACACTTGTACCACAAATGTATTTTCTTTGAAATATTATGACTATAAACCTTAAATTTTCAGCATGCTATAAGAGATATATCTAGAAAAATATTTGTTATTACAGGTTTATGCAAGCCGAGGTTGGGTACTTGCAGAGGATCACATTCATTTTACCTTGGGGAAGCAAGCTCACCATTTGAAGCAGCTTACAGAGGGATTGGAAGCTTACACTCATCTTGTGGACCAAAGACTAAAGAAGAATGCTTCAAGCCAACAGTCTTTGTCCCAACAGACGGCTTATGTGAGGGAGTTCATTAATACCTTCCATCAGTATATCCAGCAAGAATGGGATTCATCAACTAGTCTCCCTTGTCTTCCACTTCCTTTAATTGACTCTCAGTCTACTAGTGTCTTATTGGGAGCTCCTCAGGATCCCCCAACAAGTTCTGAATGGACATGTGCATCTTATGTATCCTTGGACAGTGATATGACTAATAATGAACGGTGGTATTCATTAGAGCGAAACTTGGTTGAGACAAGTCATGGTTCATCTTTGGTATTTCGGCCAAATTTGCAGTTACTCAATTGTGACACTCCAAATACACAGAGTCCAATTGTTCCAGTAAATGAACCGGTGTTAGTCGAAATTTTAATGAAAAATCCATTAGCAGTAAGTTTAATGATAAGTGATGTTCGTTTAGTTTTTTCATTTGAGCCAGCCAAACATGTAGAAGCTAATGATGCTCCTGTAAAAGATTTTTTATATTCTGGGTTCAATCTTCCAGCTGGTGCTGAGGAAAAAGTTAGACTAGAATTACATCCCCAGTGTACAGGAAAACTATTAATAAAAGGGGTTATATATAAACTTTGCCTTACACCTGATATAACCTCAGGACACCCTCCTGGGTCTACATCATCTCCAGTAATTATTGAAGGTCAGCAGTTGATTGAAGTCAAGGGACCAAGACTGAATAACACTTCAGCGGAGAAGTGCAGTGTCATCTATGCATGTGATAAAAGATTAGAAATAACTGTTGTGCCACCAATGTCAAGAATAAATGTGACATTTCATGATATACCTCAGATTCTCAGTTGTGGTGAGCTCTGCAGCATAGATGTGTTGATAACAAACATAGGACCAGCCCCAGTAAGTAAGCTTCTACTAGCTGTGTCAGATCCTAATCATGTGTACCTGGACATAGAAGAAACACTGTTACCTGCTAAGCCCATTTGCGTCCTCTCTGATCTTGAGACTGCAGATAGCAAAATTGCCAATTGGACTACGACAGTAGCACTACCTAATGGTGTGTTAAATTCTGGTGATGTTATACAACCCAAACTGTGGCTTCATGCACCCATGACACCAGGAGCATTTGATGTGGAACTGCTGTTCTACTATGAAACTCTAAATTCACCAGGGAGAAGCCAGTTAGTATATACAATATGATTATTTTACTGTATTTTTGTCTCTATTATATTATGATTATGGAACTTAAATGTTGTTGCTTATAAAACTTTTATTGCTTGCAAACAAATACTTGTTTTTGCTTGTATAATTTGTCCCCTAGGATGGTTAGAGGAATGGGATTTGTAGAGGGTTAAGCATTGTCAGGCTTGTGTGAATGGGTTGTATAGGAGTGAAAGGAGACAAGTGGTTTTTAATGGACATGTTGCTGGAGTGTGAGTAAAATAACATTCATGAATTGATTCAGGGAAACCAGTTAGCTGAACTTCAGATGTGTAAGTGAGAGGTGCAGTGCTTTTAAAGGAAGGATTGGGATTTTACAGTTTGGAGGGTCATTCAGATTGTGAGGTCTGCACATATCTAACATGACTGATGTTGAATTATTACTACAATATTATCAAATTAAGTGCTATACCCTTTAAGGGTCATACATTGTTGCTGATATTGAATTAATGCTGGTAAAAGTTTCCTGTATTTTGTATCACCTTACCTTGGTGGGGGATGGTTGGTGTGGTGTTAAAAAAAGTTATTTCATTACATGTATTCCTTTTTTTTCTTTTCTTTTTAGTAGGCTATACAGGAAAAGGGGTTATTTAGTGAAGGAATTCAGAGAAACCGGTTATTTTTATATAACCGGACTTAAGTACTAGAAATGGGAAGTACAATGCCAGCACTTTAAAGGAGGGGTTTGTGATGTTGGCAGTTTGGAGGGATATGTTATATATGCTTCTAAACTGTTGTATCTGGGCACCTCTGCAAAGACAGTGATTGTGTGTGAGTGAGGTGGAAGTGTTGAATGATGATGAAAGTATTTTTTTTGGGGGGGAGGGGGTTTCTTTTTTTTGGGGTCACCCTGCCTCGGTGGGAGACGGCCGACTTGTTAGAAAAAAAAATGTATTCCTTTGAGGCTAATAATCCCTTCTCCTGTATGAATTACTAAATTAACTACAATTTCCATTTAGATCTAACACATTTTTCATTTCTGGCTAATACTTTACTATTTGTTGTAATTAAATTGTGCCGTATGTTTAATTACCTGTTTAAGTTTGTAGGGTGAGGTGCACATAATTACCTCTTTGGTCTCTTCATTAATACTTTTTGGAGGTAACTTAGCCCTCATATTGACAGCTCATTCTACTACTGTTGTCTTGAAGTATTTTCTGATGTCTGTATAACTTAGACATGAAGTTCTCATGTTTTCTTTTATTCAGAATCTACTGGTTTGAGTGTATGTCATTTCTTACCCAGTGTTTACCTTTTCATTTTCATTTTCAAATTCTTTCCATATACTGGATAAGGATTTTGGAATTATCTTCCCTTGGACCATAATAATTTATGCTTTTAAAATTGCACTTAAATTTTTTTATAGCCAGTCATGCGAGTATTATGAATTTGGTCCAGTTTATATTTCCTATCCTTTACCATTTTACTGTATGATTTTCAGATATAGGTTGGTGCGGCACTACAGCAGTATTTACGTAGAAAGAAGTTTAAGTTTTCAGGTATCATCCACAATAAGTCAGAATCTTCAAGAGTCACTAGGAGACCAACAGGAGAATAAGAGAATTTGCAGTTACACCTCTAATCTCATTGTAGAAGCTCAAAATAACTCTGAGGTAAGAACAGGTACCAGATGATAAGTGAGCAAGTGAGTGAGTGCCTAAATTTGAATTTTTACTGACTGATCAGATCAACCTTCAAGGGGAAAACTCTTGATGGTAGTAAAAGGCTATTGTTCCAAGGAATTAGAATTACCTTTCCCTTCCTCATGTCAACCCTAATTATTTCTCATTCCCCAGGAGCTGTGTGGCCCCTAAAGGTCTAGCTCTTCCTTAATAATAATAATAATAATCCTAGGTAGTAGGTTGGTAAACAGCAACCACCCAAGGAAGTACTACCGTCCTGCCAAGTGAGTGTAAAACGAAAACCTGTAATTGTTTTACATGATGGTAGGATTGCTGGTGTCTTTTTATTGTCTCATACACATGCAAGATTTCAGGTATGTCTTGCTACTTCTACTCACACTTAGGTCACACTACACATACATGTACAAGCATATATATATATATATATTATAGGTAGTAGGTTGGTAGACAGCAACCGCCCAGGGAGGTACTACCGTCCTGCCAAGTGAGTGTAAAACGGAAGCCTGTAATTGTTTTACATGATGGTAGGATTGCTGGTGTCCATTTTTGTATAATGGAAGTTTCAGGGATGGGTTCTATTTATTACATGAGGTCAACTACAATTGATAGAACATAGATATGCCCCCCTTGGGTCTTGTGAAACACTAGTTCTTTTTCCTTGGATTTTCATAAAGGGGAAGTGGAACAGAATTGTTCCTCTGTAAGCCATGCGTGTTGTAGGAGGCAACTAAAATGCCGGGAGCAAGGGGCTAGTAACCTCTTCTCTTGTATATATTACTAAATGTAAAAGGAGAAACTTTCGTTTTTCCTTTTGGGCCACCCCGCCTCGGTGGGATACGGCCGGTGTGTTGAAAGAAAGAAATATATATATACACACCCCTCTGGGTTTTCTTCTATTTTCTTTCTAGTTCTTGTTTTTGTTTATTGCCTCTTACCTCCATGGGGAAGTGGAACAGAATTCTTCCTCCATAAGCCATGCATGTTGTAAGAGGCAACTAAAATGCCGGTAGCAAGGGGCTAGTAACCTCTTCTCCTGTATATATTACTAAATGTAAAAGGAGAAGCTTTCATTTTTCCTTTTGGGCCACCCTGCCTCGGTGGGATACGGCCGGTGTGTTGAAAGAAACATACAAGATTTCAGGTATGTCTTGCTGCTACTACTCACATTTATGTCACACTAAACATGCATGTACAAGCATATATATACACACCCTTCTGGGTTTTCTTCTGTTTTTCTTACTTGTTATTGTTTATTTCCACTTATCTCCATGGGAAAGTGGAACAGAATTCTTCCTCCGTAAGCCATGTGTGTTGTAAGAGGCGACTAAAATGCCAGGAGCAGGGGGCTGGTAACCCCTTGTCCTGTATATATTACTAAATGTAAAAGGAGAAACTTTCGTTTTTCCTTTTGGGCCACCCCTCCTCAGTGGGATACAGCCAGTGTGTTGAAAGAAAGAATAATAATAATAATAATAATAATGTGTACAAGGGGCCTGGATATACAGCAAGCATGCGTGAGCGTGTTTGATGGAGTGAATGGAGACGAATGTTTTTTGGGACTTGACAAGTGGTTGGAGTGTGAACAGGGTAATATTTTGTGAAGGGATTAAGGGAAACCAGTTAGCTGGAGGTGGAAACAATGCCTGCCCTTTAAAGGAGGGGCTTGGAGTATGTGCTGTATGAAGTGACATCTGAACTGTCATATCTGAGTGCCTTTGCAAAGACAGTGATTTTGTGTGAATGATGGTTAAAGTGTTTCTTTATTTTTTTGGGGTCACCCTGCCTCGGTGGGAGATGGCCGACGTGTTGAAAAAATATATTGATTAACGAGCGGAGTGAGCTAAGAATGGTAACAGTTCAAGCACAAAATGAAAAGAAACAGCTGTGATATTTCAGTTCAGAGGATCATTTGAAATGTGTAGTACAGTAATACGCATCTTGTGACGGTAATATCTGGTAAAAACTTAATGAAGTCTAAAGAATATGAATGATAAATGAGTGTCTGTCTAAAAACATAGGATAGCATTGCTGCTGTTCTGATAATGGAATGAGAAAATTTTAAATGTGACAATAAATTGGCATTTACAAAGGTTATCCAAACTACATTCATGATGTATTTTTAGGATACATATTTTTCATTTAGTTATTAATATGATAAAATAACAAGAGACAACAGACCACTAAATCTCAGTGACATCAAAGAAACTATTGATAGGGAAGAATATAGATCACTGTTTCTTCCATTGATAGTTCATTTCTTTGGCTCATACACCTCCACTTGGTGCTTTGCTATATTTTCTCTTTCTCCACCTTCACGTATATATGTCCCTATTTTAATTATTGTTTTATCATTCTTTTTCTACTTTCACTTAGTATGAGAGGAATTCCAAAGCAAATATGCAAAAATTTTTACCATTTTCACTTTTTTCAATTATGTATCTTAATTTTTTATAAAATTGTAGCTCAATTAACCAAGTGATTCAACAGGACTTACCCAGAACTCCCAATTTCAATAGGCTATATCTTTGCTTCTAATCAAGATGGAGAACACAAATTAATTGCATCAAATATATGAGGAACTTGATGTTCCCAAAGTGAGTGGACATCACAAGTGAATGCTAGTATTACCTTAAAAAAGCTGGGAAGCTTTTCATATAGACACCAATGTTGTGTGGAAGCCCAGTTCATTTGTATACGAAGCATGCATCCTCCGGTAAAAAAAAATCTTGAATCTGCGAGAGAAGCTCATAGAGTAGCAGAATGTGGGACATGGAGGACTAGCTTCTGATCCTTGAGTCTGGCCCTTGCTGACAAAGATTATAGTGCCATACACAGAAATCTGCTTGCTGATTAAACAGAGGCTGTCTATTAATTTGTAATAAAAAGTGTGTTGGGTTACAGATGGAGAACCACCACCGCCATATTTCGAAAGGTTGGGAATAAAGGATGGAGATGTCTTCTTATAGCAATGATAATGTACATCAACTCAACTCATAACTGTAGGTCATCACATTCAGACAGAAGCACCAGAGGAAGGCGATGTGAAATGATGTTCTGCTCAGAAGCATTGGGTCTTTCATGTGTTCACTGGTTAGGCAAAACAAACAACTTTATTTCTATAAAGTGGTATACTGTACATTATACAATTATGGTAATTGACATGTATAAACTACTTTATGAATCCTTCCTCTGTAACCCATGTGTGCATCATAAGAGGCAACTAAAATGCCAAGAGCAAGAGACTAGTAACCCCTTCTCCTGTATACATTACTAAATTCCTCTTTTTTCACGTCATCCTACCTCAGTGAGAGACAGCTTGTGTGTTAAAAAAAATTCTAGTTATGCAAAGCATTTTGGGTAGCCTTAAAACTAACTAATGATTACCATTCAGTGAGACGACACACATAGTACATGAAAATGAGAATACTTAGTTTGTATTATATTGAAGGTTTACGGTAATTTAATAAAAATTCTAATTAAAAATACGTTAAGGATGAAGATAGGTACCTGAATTGATGCAAGAAAAAAAGCCTTTCTAGTAATAAATGAGAGTTGAAGGAAGGCTGAAACAAGAGTAGGGGCAATATTAGATGAAAGGCAAGGTTTCAGATTTTACTCACCATAACAAAGTGTTGCCAGGTAAAGGATATTACGGATGCTAGAAGCTTGCACTTCTTTCATGCAGGGAAGAGTTCCACATCCATAGTTCCCTTATTAATCACAAGGGACTCATGCAATGTTTGTGAAACTCTGGGGTGCAAGTCCCTACTAAAATTCACTGTAGAAAAAATCTCCCATTTAGTTGGATTAGTATTTTTATTTATAGCATTAGTTTTTGTTAGGTTTAGTTTAGTGAGATTAAGTTCCGGTTTGACGTATGTAATTGTATGGGAGTGAGGAGATCACTGTCCTCCAGGAACAAGGAGCAAGTTGGATATCCACATACAGTAAATGATGATCATTCTTAATGTTGACAAGAGGTCTTGATTTAAGAGTGAGTAAAGTGATAAGAATGTTATTGGTGTTATAGAGGTTATATAGACAGGTTTCTATTCCTAGGGGGTAATGGATTTTTAACACAAAAATATTATAAAAAATCCTTATATTTCTTTATCTTGGTTGCAATTAATTATATTTCACTATCTTAATTATAAGCTTATACAGTAATGAAAATTGGAGGTTTAGGAAAACTATTAATTTTTTAAAGGGGGGTCAACATTTTGAACCATTTGAAAGAATCAGTCTTTAGAATAAATTATATCTTCTGTGGTTTCCTCCTTTTCCCACATAGAGTATATTCTTACTGAGACAATTCTTATGCTTTCGACAAATTCTTGTTTTTTCAGTGCAAGCATGTGGTGCCTGCTTCCTTTATGTGATAACCAAACCAGCATGGGGAACTCGACAAATGTTTTCAGGTGAAGGCATTTGAAATGTCTGGGGAGTATTCTCAACGGTGGGAAGTTTTTAGGGCAAGCAAGGCATTGAAGATATGGCTTAGGGAATACATTTAGCTTACTTGGGGATGCATAAATTGTCATTCATTTTGTGAAATGGAAAATTAAAAAAGATTCTAGCATTGGGGGTATTTTGCTACCCCCAATTTTTTAAATAATTTTTTTTTTTTTTTTTTTTTTTTTTTTTTTTTTTTTTTTTTAACTACAGAAAACCCTCAATGTAACAGACTTCAACTTAATGAACTTTGGGAAATCTGGAACACAAAATCTGCTGATGATTCAAGTGATTTTAAGGAAGAATCAATGAACAAAGTGCTTTGGTTAAAGAAATGGCTGTTTTGTTATGATCACAACAAAATTATCTCATCTTTATATACCACAGTCACCATTTTCAGTCACCCACTAACCCATATTAGTTAAATCGAGGACTTGCTATGATTATAATGGTGGTCTACTGAATTTACTCACCCTTGATATTACTCTTTCATTTTTTCTAGATATACATGTACTTGTTTTCTTTCATTCAACTTCTCCACTTGAAACCAAAATGTTTAGGAGTGAGGGACTGCTTCAGCTAGCATTCTACTTGGAAAATATAGAAAGAAAGTGACATGTAAAGACAAGGAACCAGTAAATGAAGAAAAATAAAGGTCATTAAGAAAGTTATGTTGTGAAGGAAATCAAGTATGTAATCAAGTCCAATAGTACTTCATTGTTAGCATAGTTAAAGAAAAAAAATTCATCAGGGGGAGACAGGGAAAACTCTAGCATTAATCACATGGGCAACCTAGTTCAACCTGTCTACTTCATATTCAGAGATTACATTTTCCTTTCAATACTATATCTCCTTAATATATTTTTTGTCATAATATGATTCCTTACTCATTTAAGCAATTTTTATTGACTATTTTTGTATTATTCTTTTAATTATAAAAATATTTACTATACAGAAATAATATAAAATTTTATTTTATTTGAAAAATTTCTTGGCCATTCATCTCTGCTAGGTCATATTTGTCCCTCTACAATATACAAATCTTTGATAACCCACTTGTAAGAAAGGGATGAAAGAGAAATAAAGTATAAGATGTGAAGGCCAGTTTATTTCTTATTTTATTTTGTACTGTATTTGCAGATAGATAGCACTTGCAGCACATACACAGTCATTGGCTTGAGTGGTAACAGTGAGAAATGGGCAGTTGTACCTCATTCACATTTGCAAGGTCAGTGTACAAGAAGTCTCCAAGTTACAAACATTGGCACTTGTGAGTGGGGCAGTTACGAAACAATTTAATTTTTGCAACAGCTGATTTGCAGTACAAATGTGTGTGAAATATAACCAAAAGCCTTCAAGAGGAAACTGGACAAGTATCTTCACCAGGTATCAGATCAACCAGGCTGTGATAGATATGTGGGGCAGCAGGCCTTCAGCAGCAACAGCCTGGTTGACAGGCAAACACCAGATGAGCCTGGCCCATGGCCGGGCTCCAAGAGTAGTGAAACTCTCGAAACTCTTCAAAGGTATATCCTTTTCACATTGGCATTCTATAAATGCAAAAACAGTGATTATGTGTGAGTGTGGTGAAAGTGTTGAATGATGATGAAAGTATTTTCTTTTTGGGGATTTTCTTTCATTTTGGGTCACCCTGCCTCTGTGGGAGACGGCCGACTTGTTAATAAAAAAAATGCAACATGCTTTAAAATTGAAACACCAGAGTGCAGTAGTTTGCAAGTGGAAGCAGAGAGATTATAGTTGTAAGTTGAAATACCAGGAATTGTAGTCTTTTATTAGCTGAGAAATCAAAAATACATAATACATTTTTGATAAATGTATTATGTATATGTATATATGTATATATTATGTATATGTATATGTGGAGTAAAATAAAGATTGGATGTGAAAAGTGGGTTATAGTAAGTGTGTATGGCACCTGGGAGAAGAGAGAGTGTAGAGGAGAGAGAGAAATTCTGGGAAATGATCTGGTGAAATGTGTGGGGAGTTTTGAATCAAGTGTGAGAGTTATGGTGGTTGGGGATTTTCAATACAAAGTGGGTAATAAAAAATGATTGTAGAGGGAGAGTAGTAGGAAATTTCGGATGAGGAGGTAAATGTAAATGGGGAAGCTTTTCTGAGCTATGTGTAGAAAGAAATTTGGTAATAAGTAATACATATTTTTATGAAAAAAGAAGATAAATAAATTACAAGTATGAATGTAGCACGTAATGAAAGTAGTTGTTAGATTATGTATTGGTGGATAAAAGGTTGATGGGTTAGGCTCCAGGTGTACATGTTTATAGAGGGGCAAACTGATATATCGGATCATTATTTGTTGTAGCTACAGTTAGATAAGAGTTAGATGGGAAAAGAGGAAGGTGGCAACAACAACAAGTAAGAGGGAGGTGAAAGTGTATAAACTAAGGGATGAGGAAGTTCGGGCGAGATTATAAGCGACTATAGGCAGAAAGGTGGGCTAGTGCAACAGATCGAGTCGTGGGGGGGAGTTGAAAAGGGTTGGAAATAGTTTTAAAAATGCTATAGTATAGTATTAGAATGTGGGGAAGAAGTTTGTGGTTATAGGAGGGTGGGGGCAGGAGGAAATAAAAAAGGAGTGTGATTGGCTGGAATGATGAAGTAAAGGCTGTGGATAAAAGGAGGAAAAAGTTGCTTACGAGAGGTTTATACAAAGAGAAGTGTTATAAGAAGAGCAGTGAGTATATGGAGAGTAAAAGAAAGTGAAGAGAGTGGGATGAGAGTGCAAAAAGGAGAGCAGATGAAAGAGTTCGAGAGGCACTGTCAAAAAATTTTAATGAAAAAATAAGAAAAAAATTTGGAGTGAGTTAAACTAGTTAAGAAAGCCTAGGGAAAGTATTGGAATTTATCAGTTTAAAAAATACAGAGTAGGGGAGTTCGTAGATGGGGAAGGGAGAGGGAGGTTATTAGGTAGATGGAGAGAATATTTTGAGGAACTTTTAAATGTTTTGAGAAGAAAGGGAGGGCGGTTAATTTCATGCATGGCAGGGAGGTATACCATCTTTTAGGAGTGAGAAGAGCAGAATGTAAGTGTGTGGTGGTGGTACATGAGCATTACGTAGAATGAAAGGGGGTTTTAAAGCAGCTGGAACTGATGGGTCAATGACAGAAATGTTAAAAGCAGGGGGGGATATAGTGTTGGAGTGGTTGGTACTTTTGTTAATAAATATATGTCTTACCTAGGGATTGGCAGAAGCATGTATATCCCTTTATATAAAGGAAAGGGACAAAAGAGATTGTAAAAAATTATAGAGGAATAATGGTGTGGTTTTAATGAGTATACCAGGAAAAGTATACTGGTAGGTTATTAATTGAAAGAAAATTAGAGGTAAGCAAGAAACGTAGGATTGCCGGCTATGTGCAAGGAGGCTTCAGAGTGGGTAGGGGATGTGTAGATCAATGTTTCAATGAAGCATATATGTGAATGTATTTAGATAAAGGTAGGGAGTTTTTATTGGATTTATGATTTAAGAAAAGGCATATGATAGAGTGGATAGGGGCAATGTGGCAGATGTTGCAAGTATATGGAATAGGTGATTAAGTTACTAAATGCTGTTACAGAGCTTTTAATTTTTTAGGATAGTGAGGTAGGTTAGGGTGTGTAGAAGAGAGGGAGAATACTTCCCGGTAAAAGTAGGTCTTAGACAGGGATGTGTAATGTCACCATGGTTGTTTAAAGATTATTTATAGGATGGGTTGTAAAAGAAGTAAATGCTAGGGTTTTTGGGAGAGGGTGGTGGATTTAAATTATGGGGAATTCAAATTCAAAAATGGGAATTTGACACAGTTACTTTTTGCCTGATGATACTGTGCTTATCAAAATTTCCTTTGGAGTTCTAAAGAAAAAAATTGCAAAGGTTAGTGGATGAAGTTTGAGAATGTGTGTTAAGGTAGAAGTTGAAAGTGAACATAGAAAAGAAGTACGGTGAGTGGGTATCAAATGATTTAGATAAAGAAAAATTGGATATCAAATTGGGGAGGAGAGTATGGAAGAAGTGAATGTTTCAGAATACTTGGGAGTTGAATGTCGGCGGATGGATTTATGAAGGATGAGGTTAATCATAGAATTGATGGGAGGGAAAAAAAAAGGTGAGTGGTGCCGTTGATTGTTATATGTGGAGTCAAAAAACGTTTATCTATGGAGGCAGAGAAAGGGGAATGTATGAAGTATAGTAGTACCAACACTCTTATATGGATGTGAAGCTTGGGTGGTAAATGCCAGCAGCGAGGAGACGGTTGGAGGAGTGGAGATGTCCTGTCTAAGGCAATGTGTGGTGTAAATATTATGCATGAAGAATTCGAGTGTGGAAATTAGGGAGAAGGGTGTGGACGTTAACAAAAGCATTAGTCAGAGGCAGAAGAGGGGTTGTTGTTGAGGTGTTTGGTCATTTAGAGAGAATGGATCAAAGTAGAATGACATGAAAGCATATAAATCTATAGGGGAAGGAAAGGAGGGGGGTAGGGGTGCGTCCTCGGAAGGGTTGGAAAGGGGGTTAAAGAGGTTTTGTGGGCTAGTGGCTTGGATTTCCAGCAAGCGTGCATCGAGCGTGTTGATAGGCACGTGAATGGAGGCGAATGATATTGGGAACTGACGATCTGTTGGATGTGTGAGCAGGGTAATATTTAGTGAAGGGATTCAGGGGAAACCGGGTTATGTTTTTCTATAGTCGGACTTGAGTACTGAAATGGGAAGTACATTGCCTGCACTTTAAAGGAGGGGTTTGGGATAATGGCAGTTTGGAGGGATATGTTGTGTATTTTGTACGTATATGCTTCTAAGCTGTTGTATTCTGAGCACTCTGCAAAAGCAGCGATAATGTGTGGTGATTGTGGTGAATAGTGTTGAATGATGATGAAAAGTATTTTCTTTTGGGGATTTTTTTCTTTTTTGGGTCCCCTGCCTCGGTGGTAGACGGCCGACTTGTTGAAAAAAAAAAAAGTATATGTACTCTATTATTATTAAGGAGGGTAGTAACTCTTCTGTATGTATTACTAATTTAAATACGAGAAACTTTCTTTTTGTTTTGGGGGCCACCCTGCCTTGGTGGGATATAGCGGTTTGTTGAAAGAAGAATATTATTAAGAGTAAACCTTTGCTATTACAATCAGTATTCCTGGTATGATAACTGAATATCAAGGGACATTTGGTCCATTAGTGATGTGTTAAGATGAGACAGTTCTGATTTGTGTTAACCAACGTAGGACTTGTAAAAACAATTGCATCTACTGTCTTGCATGTTTATTGCCAGTTGGAAACAACTCAGATTAAGAAATTCACACTTTTGTTTTAGTATTTAAAGAAATATGGCAGTAAGTGGAGAGAATAAATATTTCTTTAATTCTAGAGTTGTTGATGGCTATTGCTTGTAAATTCTTAATCATTTTTTTTTTTTAGTTATCTGACATGCTTTGCTACCACAATAAATTATTAAACACTTCAGTTTTATTTAAAACAAAAAGGAATTATAATGATATTACTAAGTAATTTTTTAAATTATTACAATTAAACAGTTCATGAAGGGCCATAAATAACTTGAAGGTTTAGACCTTGCAAAACTCTCTTTATGGAAGTGGAACGCAGTTTGCATATTTCTTAGATTTTTTTTTTTATTAAAGAAAGGAAAATCAAGGATGGAGCAGGAAAAGTATCACTATCGAGTAATTGATTGTTAAAGTAAGAAGGTTAAGGGTCATCCTAGGAAGAGTTTGGGGAAGGAGATAAAGAGGTTTAGGTGCTAGCTTGTGTGAATGTTAGACTGAAGTAGTGGAGACTGTAATTTTTATTGCTTGAAGTGCTGTTGGAGTGTGTGCAAGGTGACATTTATGAAGGGATTCAGGGAAAACTGTTAGTTGGACTTAGTCTTGAAGGAAAGAAGTATAGTACCTGCACCCTGAAGGATTGGTGAGGATGTTGCTTTTTTGAAGGGTCACTCTAATTGTGACATCTGTGCATTCTTTCAAGACAGCTACCATATTGAGTGAACGATATTAAATTTTGGTAGCTAAGCAACTATTAAGAATAAGAATTTTATATCAGCATGATACATGTTTGTACAAAGGAGTTTAACAGTTTAGTGTACATGCCAAGAGCCCCTTTATATGCAGAGCATTTTGGGCAAACTTAAGATTAATAAGGCAATAATAGTGAAGTAAATTTGTACATATGGTCATTAGGTGAGTTTACAGTGAATACAAGAGAATGTAGACTGTCTTAGGAACTGTTCAATTGAAATTAAATTATAATAATTGTAGAATATGACCAGTACAGTTAAATTAGAGGAAGGGTTGAACAAAGACTTGAAGTTGTGAATGATTGGATTTTCGTACTTCTACCCTTATTGTTCTAATAAAATATTTTGCATTCATTTAGCCAATTTGTTTATTATAATTGCTTCTTCCTTTTATTAATTTACTTACCTCAAGATTTTATCAATATTGGAATGATATTTTTCACCCCAATATATATGTAATATTTCAAGCTTGGTAACAGTGCAATTTTTATCAGGCAAGCTGCATATTAATCTTTTATTTGTAAATTTGACATAAATTGGAGAATACTGGAATTTCTAACTGGGTTTTACTTTTTGATGAAGGTCTACAGCTCAAATCAGGAGAGTCTTGCCATCTTTGTGTTAAATGCATTCAGCATTTGAACACACAAAAACATGGGCTGATTCTTTCACAGCTTCACTTTGGAAGTTGCCAGGTAAGCTGATGCATAAATGCTAAGTTTGAATATAGTCATTTGGTGTGAATATTTATCTTGTTGAAATCATGTTGTTGGATGTGACTCGAGAACTGTTAAAATTAAAGCTTTAGTATATAATTATTATAAAAAAAATGGACTTTGGGCAATACTGATTATGTATATACTGTAAATACCAGGATTCTTAAGTATGCCTAGTTTAAATAAAATAGACAGTACATTCATTTCTTTCTGAACATTTGCTTTTATGAAAATTAATGCAAAGCTGTATGACCCTTGTACTATTTATTATTTAGTTTGTGAATTATGAGAAAAGCTTACACAGTCCTGAGTGAATTACTTTTGTCAATATAGACTTGCATATTGCAGTAATAGTGATATACAGTACTTCATTGTTTAATATTTTCAAGGTACCTCTGAACTCTTGGTGGCGCTTTTCACTAAGAGAACGTATAAATCTTCAAGACCTTGTGGCTGATCCTTCTCCTCCAAACCCATCATCAGAGCACATCCCTCCACCACCAACCCCAACTCAGCAAGATGCAAACCACATAATTGATGCAAATAGTTTAGACATGGTAGTCTCTATTTTATGGAAGGTAAGAGGGAGAATACTTCCCGGTAAAAGTAGGTCTTAGACAGGGATGTGAATGTCACCAGGTTTTTTAATAATTTTAGATGGGGTTGAAAAAGAAAAAAATTGGGGTTTTGGGGGAAGGGGGGGGAAAAATTTTGGGGGGAATAAAATTCAAAATGGGAATTGACAGTTATTTTTTGCTATGAACTGGTTTTATGGAGATTCAAAAGAAAAATTGAAAAGGGTTAGGGGGATGAGTTTGAGAATGTGTGAAAAGGGTAAAAAATAAAAGTGAACATAAAAAAGAGTAAGGTGATGGGGGTATCAAATGATTTAGAAAAAAAAAATTTGGGATATCAAATTGGGGGGGAGGAGTATGGAAGAAGTGAATGTTTTCAATATTGGGTTTTGACGTGTTGCGGATGGATTTAGGGAAGGTGGGGTTAAAAATCATGAATTGATGAGGGAAAAAAAGGTATGGTGGTTGAGGTATTTGGATTTCAAAAAAAATTATGGAGGAAAAGAAGGGAATGTATAAAATTAAGTAGTACCAAACCTTATATGGATTAAATTTGGGGTGGTAAATCAGCGCGGGGAAACTTTTGGAGGCTGGAATGCCTGTCAAAGGGAATTTTGGGGTAAATATTAGCAGAAAATTCGGATTGGGGGAAATTTGGGGGAAAAGGGTGTGGATTTTAATAAAAGCATTATCAGAGGGCGAAGAGGGGTTTTGAGGGGGTTTGGTCATTTTGAGAGAATGGATCAAAGTAGAAGACAGGAAAGCATATAAATCTAGGGGGAAGGAAAGAGGGGGTAGGGGTGTCCCGAAAGGGTTGGGAAAAGGGGGTAAAAAGGAGGTTTTGGGGGCGAGGGCTTGGACTTCCAGCAAGCGTGCATAGCGTGTTAGATAGGAGTGAATGGAGAGAATGATACTTGGGCCCGACGATCTTTGGAGTGTGAGCAGGGTAATATTAGTGAAGGGATTCAGGGAAACCGGTTATTTTCATATAGTGGACTTGAGCCCCTGGAAAGGGGAATACAATCCCTGCACTTTAAAGGAGGGTTTGGGATATTGGCATTTTGGAGGAATGTTTGATCTTTATAGAAAATTGCTTCAAAAAACTGTTGTTTTAGCACCTCTGCAAAAGCATGATTTGGAGTGTGGTGAAAGTGTTAAAATTATGAGAAAGTTTTTTCTTTTTGGGGTTTTCTTTCTTTTTTGGGGTCACCCTGCCTCGGGGGGGAGAGACGACTTGTTGAAAAAAAAAAAAAAAAATTTAAGGGCAAATTAAATAATTATCAAAAAAATTTATGCTTTATTTTTTTCTCCTTACCAGGGAAAAGAGAGAGAGACTTAAAACATGGACTGATTTTTACATTTATGGGTTTTTAAAAAACCCATCAGGCCTTTCACACAAGGAGTGTTGGGTGGATCTCCTTCCACTTATTACAATTTGGACTCCGATCAGTTAGTTTACAACAAATCACAGTTTTAGTGATGTTCGGGAAAGGGAAAAAACATTTCTGGCACTGTCCTAATCAATACACTTGAATATCTAGGTCTGAAATTAGTAGTAATATGAAAACAAATGGCGGGAGTGGAAATCTTTGTGTTTTTTTTTTTTTCCCACACAGGCAATCCCCACGAGTAGGGTGCCCCAAAAAAAAAAAAGAAACTCATTTCCCCACCTCATTCAACAGCCATAATGTCACAAAAGGGAAAGCAAAATATATAGAGAAGAGGGAAAGGTATATGGGGCCTGAAGGCCCTGGGCCTTTTTTATTGAGGTTTTTACACGAGCATCACAGGTTATGAATTTTAAAATTGTCACCCATATTGACATAAACCCTTTGATAACCACAGAGGACACTTACTGTGCAGTTTAAAAAGATTTCTCTATTCTAAACCCTACAATGATTATTGCTTTCTGTATTTTTGGGGGATGAATTATTCAAGAGGTAGGGCAGAATTGCAGAATTTCATTATTTTTTTCAACAAACTGCAACTTACCTACGATTCTGAGACGAGCAGTATTATAGGAACAGTGTCTTGTAATCCTTGACTTTATTTTAAACTACTTGTTCACTGGGTCGGGCAGTGCCCATCCTTAGTGGAGGTGACCAACTGGGTGGGTCGTTGGGAAATCTGGGTGGGTGGCTTTGGGTTAATCCGGGGGGGACACAGGGACCTGCCCCGCAGGGGTCAGTAGGCCTTTAGTTTTTCCTTTTTCTTATGTTTTTATGTTTTTTAGCAGTTAAAACAGTCGGGAATGAAGTTTTCTCTTAGCATTGAACTTTGTAAAAATTACAGCGGGGGACTCAGTGAAAATGTCTCTTCAAGCAAATATATTCAACAAACATTAAATGTAATGCTTTTTGAGGCTTGTAAAAGAAATGCCGGGTCTTGAATTCTCACTGATATTTCTAAACGGATCAAAATTTTCATCATTTTTTTTTTTGTCAGTTCCCCACATTAGGGTTTTCAGGTGAATGCACCTTTAAAATGTGTTAAAGCTAAAGAATTATCCAAGTCCACTAGGAAAAGAACTTTTGAATGGACCATCGTGCTGAACATGTTTGTGACTGGCATGAAAACTAGATTTTACCTGTTTTGTCAGGCCTTCATAGAGAAAGCCCAAGAAAAGCCCTTATAAATTTAAATAAAATATTCAATTTGTCGGGTTGTAGTATTTCCTTTGCCTTAAAACCACTTGACCACAAAATCGAATGACCGATTGCAAAAAAAACCATACCAGGGGCAGGATTTGAACCCGGGTCAGAGATTCAAAATCCAGGGGCAACCGATGGTCTGGAGTTTTGGGAAAACCCTGCCCGGGGGTTAAAATCCCGCCCGTGGTATGGTTTAAAACCACTTTTTTCCAGGTAGCAGATTTCAAAATGTATGGAATAAGTGGTAGGTTACTTGAACATAAAAGTTTTTATGTGGATAGTGGGGGCAGGTTGCATGTGTAAAAGGGGGAGTTATTTTTCCAGAAAGCGGTCTTAGACGGAATGTGTGATGTCTCCATGGTTTTTTTAATATTTTGCAGATGGAGTTGAAAAAGAAGTGAATGCTGGGTGTTGGGAAGAGGTAGGGATTAAAAGGGAAAAATCGGGACGAGTGGGGTTTGTCAAAGTTCTTTGGCTTTTTCCACACAGGTTTTCGGGGAGATTCTAAGAAAAGTTGAAAGGGTTTGGTAAACTAATTTTGGTAAGGTAAAAAAGAAGGAATTAAAAAGTAAACATAGAAAGAACAAGGTGAGGAAAAAAAAAATATGGGGCAGTGAAAAGGGGAAAATACATGGAGAGAGTGGGAAGGAAGTTAACTGCACCAACTGTTGTAGGGATGAAGCAGGGTTTTTTAAATGTTGCAATGAGGGGGAGGCGGAGGCATAAAGAGCGTATTTAGGGCAGTGTGGGCTGAATTTATCGAGAATTTGAGTTTGGAGTTGGAGATTAGGGTCACCAAAAAGTATTAAGAGAGCAGGGGGGGGGTTTGCGGATGGTTTGGACATTTAAGAGGAGGAGAAAAATAGGATATAGGAGAGCTTGCAAATTTAGGTGGGGGGGAAGGAGGGAAGAATCCCCTAAAATTTTGGAGGGGGGGGGTAAAGGGAGGTTTTGAGTGCTAAAAGCTTAACTCCAACAGACTAGTGGAGCCTTTTTGATAAGAGTGAATGGAGGCAAGTGGTTTTAGATTTGATTGATTTGGAGGTTTTAAAAGCAAAACTATGAGGATTCAGGAAAGCCATTTAGCTGACTTAAGTCGGGGGTGAGAATACAGGGCCTGCACTCTAAAACGCTGGGGATATATCATTTTGGGGGGGTCACTAATTTTGGATGTTGGGCCCTTTTGGAAAGGGTTTTTTGAGTGAACAAAAGTGTTTTTCTTTTTGTTGGTCACCCTTCCTCAGGGGGCAATGGCCATGGAAGAGAGTAAGAAAGTAAGTTATAGTGAGTTTTGGTTTATTTTTTTCATGTATCTTTTTATTTGGGTGCACAAGAGGGGAATTTAACTTAAGGGGTTAGCCACCCGGAAAATCCCCTGGGTTTAGTGCATCTTTGGGACTTTTGTTTTCTTTCCTTGGGGCCTTTAAATCTTCTTCGCCCAATGAAACCCCAAAAGTCAACATTTTATTTTTTATTATTTTTTTTATTTTTTTATTTTAATTTATTTTTTATTTAATTTTATGTTTTTGCAAATAGTCTTTGAGATTGTTTTTAAATAAGGGGTTGCAATGCAAAGAGACCTCTATTAGCCTAGGCTTAGGGGGCCCCTTAACATTATTACTTGTTATTACTTAACACTAAAATTTATACTTTGTTGTCAGTAGATTTTTAAATTTTAAAATGAATCTAATGTATATAAGACAAAAGATAACATTTTTTTTTTTTCAAAAGTCGGCCATCCCCACCCCAGCAGGGGGACCCAAAAGAAAGAAAACCCCAAAAAAGAAAAAACTTTCATCAATCATTCAACACTAAAAAGAATTTTTGGTGTGCTTTTTGTGAAACAATGATTCAATTTTTTCCTGCAACAAGTAACAAGCTTTGTGCCGCAGGCAGTTAAATTACCTATCCAAACACTTCCTTATTCAGTCAAGAGTGTGCTCATTGTTTCTTTCTGACAAAGTAAATACCACTTTTGTCATAAAACTCATTAGTCCTAAAAAACCTAAAGCAGACAATTGGGGAGGGCAATTGAATATGTATTAAAAATTTCATAATTTTTCTTTGTGCTGTCTCATTGTACAAATTTAAATAGTACTTATGGGTATTAGGGTTTTTAATCTATTCTTTTTGGTTTATTTTGTTTCCAGATTCCCGTTTTGTATTTAATGATTTACCAAATTATGCAAATCTGCAAAGGGGGTTATCATGTTGATTTCTTACTGAAAACATTTCGCCCCACTTATACACCCGTATTTAAAAACTGATTTTTTTTTTTTTTGTGACAGGGGTGAAAAGGGGGACGGGAAATATGGGACAACATAGCATTTTTCTGAAAAAACTTGGGGATGGTGTAGCATACCCACCACCCCGGGTTTTAACTGGGGAAGAGGAGAACCCCCTTAAGAATCATTCCAAAAATTTCCCCACAACCCAAAAACCATCCCCCCCTTTCCCCAAGCTTCCAAGCTAAAACACTTAGTCAAGATCTCCTCATTTTTCCCAAATCTTGGGGAAAATGATTTTATTTCTAAAGGTAATAAATGATTCTTTTTACATTTACACCCTTAAAAGCCAAGGTTCTGTTCCTGCTACTTTTTTTAAAACCCCTTTTACTGTTTTGGCTAATTACGTCTTTCGCGCCACTGTTTCGGCTATTTATACCTAAAATTTAGCGGCTTTTAAAACAAGCAGGAGAAAGCTGGGAGGGCCCCCAAAATAAGAAGGGTCGTTAGTCGGTGCACCACATAAAAAAAAACCGCGCACCGTGCATAAGAGAAAAAAAAAAAATGAAAACCCTTTTTTTTGGGTTAAAACCTGAATTAGGGGGATTTTTTTGTAGTATTTATCTTGTTTGTTTTTAGTCCCACCTGTAAAATGGAAAACTATTTAAAAAATAGAGAATTTTTATTTGTTTCACGACAAAAACGACCTTGAAATTGAGCTCAAAGTAAAAGTTCATTTTTACCCCAGTGTTCAGGAGTAACAAAAACCCACACGTCCCCTACAAAATTCAACTGGGATCTAAAAATTTTTCACTATGCCTATATTTTTATACCCTTTTTACAATAATAGATAACATAAATTTTTGTATTTTTGTATGAATAAAAAAACAAAATAAAAGCATAGTAATTAAAAAGGGGGCCTTGAGACTGACAAAAAACAAGAAATTTTTTTTATGCCAAAAGTCTACATTGTTTTTTCTGGCCCTATTTTGAAAAATTGGGATCATTTTTAATTTGTGGAAATTGGCCAAAAAGGAATTTTTTGACCACTTTAATTGGTAGTCAAAACGGTAAAAGGCAGTTTCTTGTACCCAAGATAAAAAATGGATTTTTAAAGAAATACTATGGTTTGGTCAACGGAACAACGGAATTGGCCAAAAACAGGGGTCAGATCGCGAAATCGCCGATACTAATGTCCCCAGACCGGGAACTTCGAAGCAAATTCCACGAGTTTTCGAACCCAAAATTTTGTAGTTTTGGGGTCATACCATCGGAAAAGATTCTCTATCATTTCAGTTTTTTTTTCCCCCCCCAAAAAAAAATTGCGAATAGAATGACAATTTCAGAAAGGGGGTTGCGCTCAAAAAAGGGTTAAAGGAAAAATTTTTATATTATAAATATAAAGAATAAAAGTATTTTTTTTGATATTCAGGGTTTTGCTTCAGTATGTAAGCATTAGGGTTTTGCACCTGATAATTTGGGGAAAATAGAAAGCTTCTTTTCACTGTATGCCTTTTTTTTGTAATTTGAAAGGTGTCTGTTTTTTTTTCATTCCATTTTATAATATGCAGTAAGGGAGAATTGAAATTTTTTTTTATATTCTGTTATCTTTTTAAATTTGAGGTGTGGAAAGATTTTTTTTTATTTAAAAAAAGAAAAAATTTGTAATGCAAAATTCATAACGAAAGGAGATGAGGGCATGTTTTGGGTTTCCAGATTACAGTCTTTTTTGACTCAGTAGTAAAGACAAATTATGGAATCTTGCTGATGACACAATTCTTTTCTAAAACAAATTAATAAGTTTTGACAGATTTGGAAGGGGATTCAAAAAGGGAAAATTTAAAAAAAATCTAGAAATAGTAAGGGGAAGGGAAAAAACTAAAAAGTCATGGCATTGATAAACTGAAAATTATTAAAAGGGGGAGTATGAAGGAAGCAATGTAATTAGATATTTTGGGGGTGGGCATGTCACAGATGGGTCTTGAAAAAAGACGGAACCATAGAATAGATAAAGGGAAAAAAAGGTATGCTGGTTGAAGATTGCGTGGATATTTGGGGGCAAAAATGAATATACCAGAGTAAATGGTACCAACACTTTTATATGGGGTGGAGGCAGGGGTTTTTTAATTTGGGTTTTAAAAAGGGGGCTAGAGACATGGAGTGTCGTTTGAGAGCAAAGCGGGTGTGAAACTGCAGAGTATTTGGGGCACAGAATTTAAAAGGGGATGTTAAATTCAGAGGGGTAAGGGAAAGGTTTGTGAGTTGGTTTGGGCAGTAGAGGGGGAAGAGGGATAGCTTGACAAAAGGGTGTATAAATTTTTGGTGGAAATAGAGGGGAAAGGGGTTGTGCCAGGGATGGTTGGGAAAAGGTAAAAAAAAGATTTTAGCTTTAAGGGGTTTTAGATCCACACATATTTAGAGAAAAGGTATGAATACATGGGACAGGGGGTTATTAATGGACAGTGTTTTAAAATGTGAGCAAAATAACTTATGAAGGGGTTCAGAGAAAATGGAAAGGTGGGAAAGGGATTTCCCCTCGGAGGGTAGGGGGGGTTTTCAACTGAAGACAATCTATTGTGATTCAAACAAATTTTTTAAAGACATGATTCAGGAAAATTTTTTTTTTTTTTTTACCCCCGCCCTTGGGGGGAAAAACCATCGAGTTAAAAAATTTTAACCCCTTTTTCCGTCACTCACGTAGATCAAAGTTGGTAGGATCGGGGTTGTAGAAAAAACTCTATATGTAAATCATAGTGACTCAAAAAAGTTGTGAGCAAAAAATTTTTGGGCCCAGACAAAGAGAATGAGCTTAAGGGGTTTTCACAGTATAAAAAAAAATCCTTCCCCCCTGCTGCACGTTGGGGAAAACCCAACCTTTAAAAATTGTGTTTTGGGTTAAAAAGGATTTGGGGTGTTCCTTTGAGTTATTTTCATAGTTTTAAAATTCGGTTTCTTTGGGGCCAGTTGATAGCCGTAGATTTTTAGTGAAATGGTAAAGAATGGCCAGTTTCAGACTGGATGTTTCCCAAATAGGCCTCCCCTTTCCCGCCCCTTTTTTGTTTTTTTTTGGGGGGGGGGGTTTTCTTCAATTACAAAAAGGAATTCTTGGTTAATTTTTATTAGCAAAGAAATAGGGATAACATGTAACCCGGGGGGAATTTTGTTGGTATGTAAAATAACCAAGGGTTTTAAAAGAGGGGCTGGGTTTTTGTTAAAAATGAAAAGGGGGGTTTTTCTTTTTACAATCACATAAATTTTGGCACTTTTTTTAAATTTGAGTTTTTTTTTTTTACAAATTTTCCCAAAATTTTTCCCTTTTTAAAAGGGGAAATAATAATTTCTTTCTTTGGCCAAACTGTTGTAAAAGAATAAAAGCCGGGAAAATGCGTAACCCCTTTTTTTAAAATTCTAAAAAAAATAAAAAAGAAAATTTCAAATTTTTGTGGGGGAAGAAAAGGAAAAAAGTTTTTTTAGGAGGAACATTTTTTTTGAACAAACTGAAAAGGGGGGGGGAAATTTAAGGAGGGGAAAAATATTTTTTTTCAAAAGAGTTAAGGAAAAAGGGGTGCATAAGTTTAAGGATAAACATGCAGGGAGGACTACTGTAAAACAAGGTTTAAGTGGGGAAAAGGGGGAAGTTGGGGATGAATTTGTTTAAAGAAATTGGGGGAAAAGGGATTCGGTGTTTTCTTTTTGTCAAAAAAATTGGGGGATTTCAATCAAATGGGGAAAAAATTTTTAATAATTTTGGGAATTTTGCCCGGGGAAAAAATTTTTACCTTTTTTGAGAAATGAAAAAAATTTTAATAATTCATTTTTATTAAACTTTTCTTTATTTCCTAAGAAAAAATTTGTTTAAAAAAATTTATAAAGGTTGTGGGGAGGTCAATTAAAAATAAAGGGGGAACGTATAACCCCTTTTTGTTAGCACTTTTAAAAGAAAAAAGGAAAAAACCAAAAAAAGGGGAGTGAAATGGGTTTTAAATAAGGGGGGGGGAGGGAAGTTTGGGGGGAAAAACCCTTGGAGGGTGGGCATGCAAAAAAATGGGGGGAAAAGGGTTTAATAGTTTTAAAAAATAGATTAGGTCAGAAAGGGGGTTTTAAGGGGGGTTTGGGGGGGGAAAAAGAGATATTTGGGGAAATAGAAAAAAGGTGGATTTAAAAAGAAAAAACTTCAAGGGGTTTTTTTAAACAGAGGTTTTAAAAAGGTTGGAAGGAAAAGGGGGAAAAGTGGGGGAGATGCAAAAGGAGAGAGAGGAGGGGAGATTTAAAAAATTTTTTGAAAAAAGAAAAAATTTTGGGGTAGTTTAAAAAGTAAAAAAGTTTTGGGGGAAAAAGGAAGAAGTTTAAAAAAAGTGGGAGATAGAGGGGGAGGGGGGTAAAGAGAGGGATACAATTATTAATTTTTGATCAATACTGGCCAAAAAGGGGCTTTCGATTTGGGAGGCGTTGATAGTGAAAGGGTTAATATATCAATTTATATAATTTCATGACTCGTTTAAGGTCATGACTCATTTAAGGATGACAGGGTGGTAGACAGCAACTGACCAGGGAGGTACTACTGTACTGCCAAGTGAGTGTAAAACGGAAGTCTGTACAGCATTTGTTTTACAGGATGATAGGATTGCTGGTGTCTTTTTTCTGTCTCATAAACATGCAAGATTTCGAATACATCTTGCTACTTCTACTTACACTTAAGTCACACTACACATGCATGTACACATTTTTGTATACACCCTCATCTGAGTTTTCTTTGATTTATCTTAATAGTTCTTGTTCTTATTACTTTTCCTTTCATATCCATGAGGAAGTGGAATAACAGTCTTTCCTCCATAAGCCATGCTTGTTGTAAAAGTCAACTAAAATGCCAGGAGCAACAGGCTAGTAACCCCTTTTCCTGTATAGCCTACTAAAAAGAAAAAGAAAAAACCATCAAAGTGGGATGTTTGAATGTACGTGGATTTTGTGCGAATGATAAGAAAGAGATGATTGTGGATGTTATGGATGAAAAGTAGCTGGATGTCCTGGCTCTAAGCAAAACAAAGCTGAAGGGGGTAGGAGAGTTTCAGTGGAGATAAATAAATAGGATTAGGTCAGAGGTTTCTAATAGAGTTAGATCTAAGGAAGGAGTACCAGTAATGTTGAAGGATAAGTTATGGGAGGAAAGGATGGCATGTAAATGTATAAATTCAAGGATTACACAGAGTAAAATTAGGGTTGGATGTGAAAAGTGGGTTATAGTAAGTGTTTATGCACCTGGAGGAGAGAGAGAGAGAGAGATAGAGATAGATAGAGAGATAGATAGAGAG